TTACTATGATGCTTCTTTGATACTAGTATTGCCTTTAGTGGCAGTCCTAGCTGAGTTGTTATCTCCTCTTCAAAGTAGGATCAATGGGCCCAGCCATCCTTTGTTTAGCTTAAAATCCAGAGACTTAAAACCATATTATATATTTGTGGACAGCTATAAGCACCTTAAGCTTGGAATCATCTTATATATGGTGATAGATGGGGCTGCTAATAGTAAAAGAGAGTGTTGAGGAATTGCTTGTCCAGTGAATGGAATGCTGAAATAGTGAAGCCTCCTCAATGGAGTTGACCCCTCCCTACATTTCTCAGAAGCTGCCTCGCTGAGAAAGCAGAGTGTCATGAGATCAGGTGACAGAGCCACATCCTGTTTACTCAGATTCTATCCTTCCTCAGGCCCCCTCCCTAGTTGTTGGCCCTGTTTCAAGCCCTTTTTGTCCTTGGTGCTGGAGAGAAGTTTCTGCCCTTAGACTATGAGCTCCAAAGCCCAGCCAATGGGAAGAAGAGCCAGTGGGTGGGTGGGGGGATTGCGGTTAGGATCTATATAATCTGCTGAGTTGAACACACTTCCTCTCTCTTCAGTCCACACCATCTTTGGGTGCTCTGAGGGAGCCCTTTCTCGAGAAAGCCAATAAACAAACTATTCTTTTTGCTAATATCTCTGAGTCTCCAATTTATTGGCAGGGGGATTACCAATAAATTGCACCCCACACACCAGGAGAAAGCTTTGGCAACCAGGAGTGAAGATATAACCCAGGAGATATTGTTTGTATAAATACTACAAGAGTGAAACTACTGAAATATTGAGTAACTACCATGTAGATGTAGAACAAATGAGCATGGCAGTTTTTGAAAGTAATGTGGGGAATTTATTATATACTTAGAAAAAAAATAAATGGCACCAAATGGAGACTCACAAATTTATGTACTATTTTGTGTTCTGTTATGTATATGGAAATTATCTTTTTGGTGTGTAAGCTTAGAATTAAAAAAAATAAAATTAATTTTTTATAAAAAGGAAGAAATATTCACTCTATAGTGAATTGCTGACTTGCACTGCTGAAGTTAGAGCTCAGTGGTCATGATACTTATCCATGGGGAATGGCAAGAATAAGGAAAGATAGAGAGAAAGAAACGCCACCCAATATCCTATCCTTCCCATCCTTATTCAAAGGGTACATCCTATGAATAGCAGACCAAGAAAGGAACTGTGCTTGAAATTCCTCATAATCTGGACTATCAATAGATAATAATAATGAAGCTAATATTTATATAATGCTTACTGTCTGACAGGCACTAGTACTAGTGCTTTTTAATTATTACCTCATTTGATCCTCTCAACAACCATGGGACGAAGAATTTATGATTATTCCCATTTTTGCAGATGAGAAACTGAGGCAAACTGATGTTAAGTAACTTCCAGGGTCACATATGTACAAAGTGTGTGAGTCCAGATTTGAACTCAAAAGTTCTTGACTCCAGGCCTGGTGCTCAACTGTGCCACCCAGAAGGGATTATGATACAAATATCTTTAAGATGATGTTATATTTTGTTACAATAATCTTTTATTTTTAAAGTTTTATTTTGAATTTATTGAAAAACAAGGATTTCCATAACATAGTACAATTAAAAAGGTGACTGTGAATAAAACTGCAAATCTACTATGCACAATTTGCTATTCCTCTCAAATATACAACAAAATTATCATATAAATTTCTTTTTTTCTTCCCTCCCCACCACCCTAGAGATGGTCATCATCAGACCCAAATCAGCATATATATGTAATATTATTCTGTATATACTTCTATTCATCAGTTCTTTCTCTGGATGCAGATAGCATCTTTCTTCACATGTCTTTTATTCTTAATTGGGGTATTTACACTATTCAAAATAATTTATTCACTCAAAGTCATTCTTAAAACAATCATTCTTGTCTCTGATGATTTAATTCTTCATTTTTTCATGCAAGTCTTCCCATGTTGTTTTCTAAAATCATTGAGGTCATCTTATAACACAGAAATACTCAATCACAATCATATACCACCACTTTTATGCCATTCCCCAATTGATGGGCATCCCTGCAATTTCCAGTTCTTTGCTACCACAAAGAAAGCTGCTACAAACATTTTAGAAGATATAGGTTCTTTTTCTTTTTCCTCTAATTATCTTCAGAAATGGACCAAATAGTGGCATATAATAATTTTAATGGTATAATAATCTTTAAGATTGTATTATATCTTTAAGAATATATATTGCTGTTAAGTCATGACCCCAAATGGGTTTTTCTTGGCAAAGATGCTGGAGTGGTTTGCTATTTCCTTCTCCAGTGGATTAGGTAAACAGAGATAAAGTGACTTGCCCAGGGTCACACAGCTAGTGCGTGTCTAAGTCTGGATTTGAACTAAGGTCTTCCTGAATCCAGGCCCAGCACTCTATCCACCGAGCCATCTAGATATGTGTGTATGTATATATCTTGTATATATACATTTGTATGTATATATGTGTATATATAAATAATATATATGTGTGTGTAAAATTATTCTATATATACTATTTATCAGTTCATTCTCCGGATGCAGAGTATATATACACATACACGTACATACACACACATATATGTACACATACATACAATATATATATATGTATACATGTATACACACATATCATATTCATTTTATGATTTCTATTTTATTTTTCTCGTCAACAAATCCCTCCCATGTTATTTGAATTGCAATGTGGAGTTGGGGTGGGGCAGTTCCTCATCACAGGGTAGTAAATTCTATCCAAATGAGTTCTTTTCTATAGTCATTCATGATGTATGCTACAGAGATGAAAAACATTTCAGTCACAAAATTTATATATCTGAAGCCAAATCTTTTGGGATGCCATCAGCTTGTCCTCTCTTCCAAACATATAAGAGAACAACACATGAAGGTCTACAGAGTGCATAACATTTGGGTAATGTTCTTCTAGGGAATTTAACTTCAGCTCTGCTGCTACTAATCCTGAGCAGCATAAGGGCTAACAGCTGGGATCCTTACAGATTGCAGGATTCCTCAGGTGGAGCTAGGGTCTTTCCTTTTATACCAGAAAGAGAACTAGGAAGTTGTGAACAGTTTTCTCCACTTCCAAGAATTATGCCAAATAGAGGTAAGGAGCTCAAAATTTAATTTTACATATTAGTTCTTGACCCTGGATCTATGAAAATATATTGTTATACACTGTCAGGCCCAGAAAATGAAAAGAAGGGGGAGATATTTTAGACAGGCCCTTAATCTCTCAGTGAGCTGACAGATTTTGGCTAGCAAATGGGTCAGGATGAACAGAAGACCACCAGTATTTTTTAAACAAACAAAAAAATGTAATGTAAAAATTAATATCTCTCTATGCAAAAGTCTTAGTGCAGTTTTAAGCTTTAGTAGGTTTTGGACTTTCACACTACTCTCTCTCTCTCTCTCTCTCTCTCTCTCTCTCTCTATATATATATATATATATATATATATATATATATATATATATATATATGCAGGATTTGAACTATATATATATATATGTTTCCGTATTCAGATAGTCTTTTTTTTTCTGCCAAGACCCATAGAAATCATAAAAATGAATGTACATACAAGAGTCATAAAAGAAATTTATTAACACAATTTAGCAGAAAATCAACTTTCTATAATGGCTAGTAAAACCAATCTCTAAGCAACAAGAGTCACCAGCTTTACTTTGATCCATCTTTTGGTTTGGACAAATATAATACAAAACAAAGAAAAAAGCATTAAGTAAACTAAATAAGCAGAGGGATTATTAGTTTTTAGTTACTTCTTAGGATTATTGTGGCTTGGAGAATGGAGAGAAAAGAATCATTACTCACTCATTGTTTAGCAAATAGATTGAAATGGCATTAGTCAAAGTAAAATTGAAGATAGACATATAGATGGAAAAAAAGATAGTAAATAGAGGCAACATCATTCTTGATGTGTAAAAGTTAGGGTAATGCAAACATGCATTTCAACAAGTATTCTTGTCTGGCCTATTATGGAGAACAAGTGAGTTCAGATTGTCCAGTGAAAATGATCTCTCTTTAATTGTTACCTTTGGGAAAGGACCATTGACAATTACTTTCTTAGCTGAATATCTAGAAAGCAAGAAGGTTATTGTCAATCTCTCCCTCTGATGATTGTCTTAAGCAACTTAAAATATAATATGGAAAAGAAAAGAAAGCCTCATTTTTCCCCACTGCTAATTTTAACAAAGAGCAGGTGGATACAGTATATGAGGGAAGATTATTAGTTTGATAGAAGATCTAATCATCTCCAACTAAAAGCAGAATTACAGGGGAAGCTTTCCTTTACTCATTAGCACAGTATCTATCATTTTTACTTTGGATGAAGATAGCAAGCTCTCTCCAGAGTTCAGAATTCAGAGTCGTATAAAACAAATTACACAAGTCTTATTCTAAAATTTCACAGGTGAAAGTATGAGCTAGATTAGAAGACAAGCTAAAAAGTCCAACAAAAGATTTACTACCACAGTAACGTGGAAGTTAATCTTAATAACATATACATGTTTTCATAGATGGGAAACATGTCAAGAGAATAAGGACTTTCTCCAAAGTATATATGGACCCCTTTTTTTTTATAATGAAAAAGAATCTCATACAAAGGCTATATTTTAAAAGCTTGCCAGAAGTAGCCTATTTGGGCAATCTTTTGCATTTGCAGTAACTAAAATTTTATAATCTCACTTGCAAATACTAAAGGAGGCTATCAGTCCAGTGGGTAGTATAGTATAGCACCTGAATGTGTGTGTGTGTGTGTGTGTGTGTGTATACACATAGTATTATACCTGTTTTATGTGTATATACACATGTACACATATATGTAATATATACATATATAATTTATACATGCATGCATATGCATGTGTATATGTGTGTATATAGGTATGTGCACATATGTATATATGTGTGTTTGTGTGTATGTATTACAATACCTGAGCAAAGGATATAAAGATGAGCCTTCATAAATTGTCTTCTCAATTATTAGACAACAAGTGTTTTCTTACAAATAGAGATCCTCAAAAAACATTTTTGACCTAAGGAAAAACAAATGAATGTATGAACAAATGAATGAATGAAAAAGTATTTATTAAATACTTATTTTGGGTAAAGGTCTGTGCTGAATGCTTGGGATACAAATAGTAAAGTAAAAGAGTCCCTGCATTCAAGTTTGCCCATATTACAATAATTCCAAACTTTATGATGGCACATTTAAAAGGGCTATGAAGACTGTTTTTGAGTCTATAGGAATACATATGACATTGGGCAAGCTGTTTGGGAGTAAGGACAATTAAATTTCTATCCTGTGCCTGTGTAGCCTTTCTGAGTCAGTAAAGCCTTTCAAATATCATACTCTCTACAGCTAGAATCAGAGATGTAGAACTGGAAGGCACCTGAAAAATCATCTGGTCAAACCTGCTCATTTTATAGATTATGAAAATGAGACCCAGAGAGGTTGAGTAACCTACTCAAGATCACATAAAACCCAAACGATAAAGCCATATTCAAACTCAGGTCCTATCATTCCAAGTTTAGAATTACTTCCACTATACCACACCGCTTTCCTAGAAGGACACCCAGGGAAAAGGATCATAAAACCCCATATCACTGACATTGATTGTTTGAAGGGACTGACTCCCTTCCTAGGCCAGAAATGGAAAACTATTAGCAGTGGCAGAAGTATTAGAATGACAGAGTACCCTCCCAGCTAGAAATATGGCCATGTCACAAGAATCACTGGCCATACATTGAAAGAGAAACTGTGTTCCAAGTTGATTCCATATAAGAATTTATATTTGCCCTTAGATGGTGCTGTTCCCCAAGAAGGAGTGAGATGTAAACTCTGGCACAAACTACTGAGATTCCCTAAAAGTCTCTGGTGTTACATACAGAAAAAGAAAATCCCTTCTGGGGAGCTTCAAAGTATCTTCACTTGGTATATCATGTTTGTTCAAAATTAAAAGCACATTGGTTCTAGTTTCCAACTGTTTGAGGGTTCTGTATTTTCACTTATAGGGTAAAAGGAATATTAAAAAAAATACTTTATTACAAGTTGCTAAGTATGACATAAAAGGAGGTGGAACAAGTTTGAAGCTATGCTGAGAGGTTCAAAAAGATATAAAAATGATGAACATTCAGGATCTAAAGGACACAGATCATTTTGGGCTACCTAATGTGCTCAGAGCAATCTTAGATGATGAATTTAATTGTATTGTGGCAAATACAAATATCTGAAAAAACAGGACTGCCTCAAAATTCTTTTTAATTCATAAATAATAATAATGAAAAAAAGATGATCTTCCATAGCAGGAAGATCTAACCCAAGGTTAGATTAACCTTGATTAACCCAAGGTCTATAGGACGCCCCATGATGATTAGTGGAGTTGATGACCCAATGGATCTTTAAAAAAGGACCTTTCCTTTTGTCACTTTCTTTCTTCAAAATCCCTTTTACATTCCCTTATGAGATACGTTAACATTAACTTTTAACTGGAATGCTGTTTTGCAGGCTATTGTTTTGCTACTAGGTTTTGCTTGAGTATTTTTCTTTTTGTTACTAGGAAGGACCTAGTTAACCCAAGAAAGTTATAAGAGGTTAATCCCTTGTTCAATATTTTATATTTACACAGGGACAGAACGAGCATGCTCATAAACATCTTTTTGAAAGAATTAAGGGTATCTCCTAGAGTTGAGTACTTGATGACTTACTCATTGAAGATGAATGATTAAATCCCTATTATTGTTGATCATGTGAAAAATGCTGGTTGTTAGGAAGATACCCTTTATCTAGGTTTATATGAGGAAACCAATAGACCTGTGTGCTCTTTTAAAAGAGATTTAGAAAGAACCAAGTACAGATAAGACACCAGTGTCAGGGCCTACACATCAACATAGATCCACCTTTCAGCCACCTGCAGACATTGCAGATATAGAGAAGTAGTGACAGAATCTATTGGTTATAGAAGCCAGAACAGTGATAGAATACAAAAAAAAGTACAGGTACCTTGATTTCATGTCTTCAGAGTGCCTAGAACATGAATTAGCTTTCTGGGATGGTATAGTTGAGGTGGAAGGTGAAGTGAGTAGGCTCATATTGAAGGAAAGAGTCTTTTCATGATGAGGTGATTATTACAGAGACACTTTCCAGATTATTTTTTGCCATCTTCATCTTCAAACCAGTACTTGACATCATTGTTCAAAGTATTTTCTGGAGTCCATGGGTCAAATAAAAACATCACACATTACCCTAGGGAATATCTCTCTTCTCATTGAAGGTAAGATCTACATCCTGAATAATGAGGGTGAATGCAGCATGATCTTAGCAATAGTTTGCTTACTAAAGTTGCAAAAATATACAGCCTCAATCCCAGTCATGAAACAGGTGCCTCATATCTATAAAAGTTGGCATTCTCACCAGATGAAAGGCAATGCAGAGAACACTGCAATTCCTACCAACTTTATCTTCATATAAATGAGCTCAAGTTACCTTTGGCAATAAAAGCAAAGCTGAATCAATGGGATGTGGATTTAAGACTGCTTTTGAAAAGTATTTTAGTAGGGGGATACTAAGCTAACTGTCCACTAAGGTTAAGCTTTGGCATGTAAGCCTACAAATCTCATGAAATAATTGCTATTTGCCTTTTAACTTATTTCTTTATTATGAGTTTGAATTACCTATTATACCAACCTCTTACAGAAACTGGAAATTGAATTACAGATACGAATAATGATCTAAATTTTATGCATTATACTCTCTAATAAGCCAAAGAATTCAAGTAAATATTGAGAATCATCAAAGCAGTGAGTCAGGGAGCTACCTCAATGAAAGGCAACTTGCAGAACACCAGCATTGTGTCTAAGCCAGCATCACAAATAAGCATTCTCTGAATTGATTTTTGAGGCAAATAAAGCTACCCAGATTAGAAAATGTGAGAGGTATCTGGCCAGCCTTAGGTAAAGCATAAAGCAGACAAAGTATGTCTTCAGCATTCTTCCAGGTGATTTCCCCATCACCACTCACATTTAGAAACTTTTTCCAAACTCCCTTATGTACTCAATCATGTTTTCTTGTCTTCTGTCCATGGAACCACATGGTGGTGCCCAAATAGGTCAGGCACTTCATCCTTTCCTACCTTCCTAATCCCTCCAAATATTATCTGTAGATCCTGTGGCTCTTAGAACAGAGGCTCTGAATATTTCTTGTGTCATGGACCCTTTTGACAGCCTAGTGAAATCTATATACTTATCATAATAATGTTTTAAAATGCATAACATAAAAACTTAGAATTACAAAGACAAATAATTATCTTCAAATATAGTTATCAAAATATGTATTTTTTTAATTCAAAGATACCAGGTTGATGACCACTGTCCTGGAGTTTGCTTATGTTGGTAATAATGGATGTGGGAGGGGTAGTACTAATCTTAAAAAGGAATCTCAACTAATGTTCAGCCAGTAAATCTCTAAACCAGATATGCTAGTCCTTTTTTAAGATTCCATTGCACATGTTTTATACCCTAAGGGATACAGATAGTGACTGAACCCATGATTTCATTAATACAGGTGACCCTATGGTGAAGAAACTCTCTCTACCACTAGTGATTTATAATTTTGCAAACAAGAACACTAAGAGATCATATTACTTATCTCAGGGTCACACAGTCAATATGTGCAAGAGAATGACTGAAACCTACATCTTCTTGGCTCTAAGATCAGTTTTCTAAGCATTGTTCCATGCAGCCACCATCTTAAGCCCTAGTTTACTTAAATACTTAAAGTGTATTGTTTCTTAAGAAAGCCCTGAAGGAGTTACTCTAGTGCCAGGGATTCCTGGTATTGTAGAAAAGAAGAGGCATTTTTGGTATCATGGTTTGGGCATGACTGTTCTTTAAGCTTTCCTGAAGACAAATGAAAATGAAAATGACGTAAAAACATTAGAGTCAAAACAATGGAAGAGAGTACGAATTAGGTCTGATTCTTTGGGATGTATCCATGGAGTCTCTAATGAGGAATTTCAGTCAATATGAATATTTCATGTCCACCTCCATATTCTAAAACACCAGGTTATTTTTTTGATTTTATTTATTTTGATTTATCAATAATCACTTCCATATGCTTTTGAGTTTAAAATTTTTCTTCCCCTTCCTCCCAACACCCTCCCCGAGACAGTGCACGATCTGATATAGGCTATACATTTACATTCCTATTAAGCATATTTTCACATTAGTGGTGTTATAAGTAAAAATAAAACCAATAGGAGGAACCATCAGAAAGAGGAAACATAACTCAACAGAAGAGAAAAGAAAATAACAATTCAACTTCCATAGTTCTTTCTTTGGATGTGGATAGCATTTTCCATCACCAGGCCTCTGGAGATATCTTAGATCCTTGTATTGCTAGGAAGGGTTAAGTTTATCAATATTAGTCATCGCACAATGTGGCTGTTATTATGTACAACATTCTCTTGGTTCTGCTCACTTCACTTGGCATCAGACCATACAAGTCTTTCCAGGTTTTTCTGAAGTCAGCCTGTTCATCATTTCTTACAGCACAATAGTATTCCATTACATTCATATACCACAACTTGCTCAGCCATTCCCCAATTGATGGGCATCCTCTCACTTTCCAATTCTTTGCCACCACACAAAGAGCTGCTCTAAATATTTTTGTACATGTGGGTCCTTTTCCCATTTGTACGATCTCTTTGGGATATAGCCCCAGAAGTGCTATTCTGGAAAAGGATATGCACATTTTTATAGCCCTTTGGGCATAGTTCCAAATTGTTCTCCAAAATGGTTGGATCATTTCACAACTCCACCAACAATGCATTAGTGTTCCAATTTTCCCACATCTTCTCCAACATTTATCATTTTCCTGTTTTGTCATGTTGCCAATCTGATAGGTAGTGATGTGTACCTCAGAGTTGTTTTGATTTGCATTTCTCTAATCAATAATGATTTAGAGCATTTTTTCATATGACTATAGATGGCTTTAATTTCTTCATCTGAGAACTGTCTGTTCATATCCTTTGACCAT